CCTTCATCATGGTAACTGAATGAATAAACTGAAGATAGACATCATGAAAAGCAATGCAAAGATAATCTTGCCGCCAGTCTACCTAACCATTAAGAGATAAAGAATTAAGAGATGAACTGAAGAGTTCCAATAATATTCACGCGCTATACTTTTAAAAAAAAAAAAAAAAAAAAAAAAAAAAACGGAAGAAATCACTTCAATGTAAACTCTATAAAAGTGATACCTTCTGAAGAAACGGAAGTAAATGCGGTTGTGCTTGAGAGCGCAGCGCTTCTTGAAGTCGACTGGTAAACACTTCTGGAGGCATTGAACCATATATTACTAACTGGAAAGCAAATGTACGATCATCTTTAAAATATATGTGAATTGATTTATAAGATCGTAAATCAACTATATTACTTGCAAACTAAAAAAAAAAAATTATTGCTTATCTTCCCAAAAAAATTTTTTTTTGCCTATTTTCCCTGTCTTCCCAAAACATTCATAAAAGTTGTATCATACAACTTTTATGTATATTATATTATATATAAACCGTTGAAACTCACCTTAACAAGTTCGGTTACCCGCACTGCAGTCTGCTGTCCTTGTTGTTGATCAGGTTGCTGTGAAAGGTGTATAAGCGTTTTGAAGAACCGCGCACATTTCGAAACCATGCTTGCTTGTTCAGCTGCATTAGCATTACGCATCTGATTTTGTTGAGTTTGCGCATTGTTACCTTAAAAACTATTTCAGCTGAATAGAAATGAAAAACAAAATTCATCCGACTTAATACGTCTGCACTCCTATTTTAAGTAATATGGTGGAAAAATTTTTATACCGCTGCAAGATGATGGAATAAACTGATATAAAAAAGTAAACCAAAACTCTGGATAACCATTGGAAAACCCAAATCACTTAAAAACCAAGAATCGAGATTCAGAGCGGAGTTTCCGAAACTATATATAATTAAGAATCAGCTACCTTGATTCAACATAACATAGTGCACGGGACGTAATTGCATGTCTTGACTGCTCACTTGCGAGACAAAGGACGGCGTTGAAGCCTGCAGTGAACACATATAACTGTAGCTTTTTAAACTTTTCAGCTCACTCAGAACGAGGTGTAAGAATAAGAAACAGAAAAAAGAATTAAAATCGCAGTTTTCAGCAAAAAAATGATTCGTTATGTTAATGATAAATAAAAATCTGATACTAAGTAGTAACATATTTTTATATTTATCTTTACAGCAGTTCTTTATTCTCTTTTGCATGTCATTTCTTTTACCATTGAGATGTATGTTATTACCGAAGAAGTAATGCTTGTACTTCGAGGAACATTTGATCGACCATTTTCGCCCAAAACAGGCCCTGGAACGATTCGGAAACGCGGTCCACTACTCGTTGTTGAAATCGGAGGCGCAGGTACTGCTTCGCCCATAAAATACTAAAAACATCAAAAAGTCGTTTGCAGGAAAACAAATGTTACTTTTTCAAAATTTAGCATATTGCTGCAATAGTTAGGTGGGAATTACCTAGCATTAATGCAAAAAAAGTTAGGATGAGCGCCAATGGGACCTCAAGTGCTAACAACTTTATGGTTAATCGCTGATTTTGTACAGAGGATATATCAGCTTTAATTTTCTAATATTTGGCGATAACATAGAAAAAGATTCATACTAACACCAACAAGACAAACCGAAAAGGGACTTTGGCTTGCCAAATTCCCTTTCGATCCTCTTTCCTAGATGTGTATGGTCTAGCAAGCTAAGTCAAACCATCTCTTACTTATTAATCGGAAAGAGTGAGCTATCTGGGAAGTGTTTTTCGACTTATCTGAAATTACTTTGAATATTTCTCCCGACTCCTTGGCATAATCCAGCCTTATTAGTTATCGTGGCGAGCTAGAGCGGTAGAACTGGAATTTCCTGGGAGAACGCTCCCATACATAAATCAAAGGAAATGAATAAATGAAAGTATAATAGATGCAAATCACAGAGTCCTACATGTGTATTGGTCAGTTTGATTCATTCGTTAGATTCATTCACAAATATTATATTTTTGTAAATAGTAATTAAAAAGTCAGCTGCGTCTTTTGAAATGCGAACTAGATTCACGTTATGAGTAAAAAGATTTCAAGATTCAAAATAGTCAAGAAGTTAAGAAAGAAATATCAAGATTTCCTTTTGAAAGCAAACAGAGAATCGCATTCCCTCCATGACTTCTGAATAAAGAAATCTGATAAAATATAAATAGCAAGGATGCAAAATCGTCCGAACGGAAACAAACTTAAATTTGAGAAAACAGAAAACCATATTACCTGGCGATAAAAAAGGGGCAAAAATCCTGACATATAATAATCATGCAAACTATCCATGCTCTCCATATTATCAAGAGTGAACATACAACATGAACAGTAATTAAGCAAAATAAGGCTTTCTTCGGTCAACACCAATATTATGCAGATTTTGATTAAAAGTTCAAGTCTAACTTTATGCAAATTTCTTAACGAGTTTGGAAAACTGGAAAATAGTGGTAACAGGGCGGGTGAAACCAATCCCTGCACGAAAAATTGAGAACAAACGATCTTAATGTGGAATGAGGTTAAAACTACTGTTATTGAATTAACTGTTTTCTTTAATAAGTTATTTAGTCCTGGTTCAATTTTATCAATTCTCGCACTATCCCTTAATGATATTAATGATTTAACATATTCGCAAAGCACTTTATAAACCTTAAGGAATGTAAAAAAGTAAAGCTATGACTACAATGCTCCAGCTTGCTGAAGTAATTCCCTTAGTAAAAAGTTATCTGATTTGGTCAGTTAATTAAGTGCGAATTCTACAGTCTCTCGTAGAAACATATTTAAGAATATTCACCATGAATTACAGCATAACATCTTGACAACGACAAACGTGACATTGAGTTATAATTTTATTTAGCTTTCAAGCACGTTTCAGTTTAATCACGACACATCAACATCTAAGCCAACTACGTGCACATAACAAAACAAAAAGCATAACGTCAAATGAAATAGGCAACTGTTAATGTTTATTTTAGTGTTGTGTAAGCATAAAATCTGCTTATGAGAAGTCCTTTTGACATAACTGTATAACCATTTTTATACCATGCACATATATGGGGTGAATCATTCATCACTATAGCAGCAGTGCACCTGTGGAACCGTTAGAAAAAAAAATTTCATTTCGTGATCAATGAAGTGGAATTCATCGGTTCAGGCGAACAAGGCAAGTATTTTCGATGTTATTCTTTTTATTGTTAAAGGAAATTAATAAACTGAAGCTTGATGAAACCGAAAAAGTGCATTATGCATAGGGTGCCAGAACAGCCTCAGTCTTCAACCAGATGAAGACTTTTTTCCTGGAAATCGGCTACTTTGTGTCTCAGGCAATGTAAATCAGACACCAACGTCATTCTTACAATGTTTCGAAAACTCGGAATAAACAAAATTTTTGCATGAAGCAGGACTGCCACTAAAAAATGTAACATACTTCCTTAATGAAACAGGTCTAATTAGCAAATTTCGACCCAGCAGCGAAGCTTTATATCCCTCCCGACACTTGCAAAAATTTCTTTTCCATCTCATAAGAATAATATGAAACAAAAATACCAAATTTATCAGCAGCCTAGTATTAGGTACAGAAGCTCCAAAGCCGACGACACCACAGCCACATTCCCCCTTAACCCATGAACCGTTAAATCACGTTGGATCAGAAAAGAACGTAATCACGGTCCGTTAACATAATACTCGCGCGTTGTGAAATCAGGCTTCCAGTGTTGTCTGTTGTGGGTTGAAATGGTTTATTGGTCGGTGGTTACGGCAAGTTGCTCCAAACCTTAACATCATTCTGTCATTAATTCATAGTGTTATATGGGACTTTTTTTTAGAAAGGTTTCGAAACAGAAGGGACCTGAAAATAATGGTTCCAAGTAAAGTAGAACTGAGACCAAGGAAGTTCTTGGCTATTAATATTTGTGCTTGTATGTTAGTTTTATTATGTGGATTAGGTAAAGCTGTTATGGAAAGGAATAAAAGCGAATGGACTTACCACCTCAGATGTCTGCAGGCCTAGTACTCGCTCTGCTACAAATTTAGCTTGTTGTTTAAGTGTGCATAGGAGTGCGATTTGAAGTTGCAAGCAAAGAAATTAAATGTTTGCTGTTTTTGTCACAGACACTTCTTTTCCAGTACAATGATAGGCCACTGTTAGTCGTTTCAGTACTTCTACTAACCATTATATAAATATTGAGAAAAGTTTTACGACCAAAAATTGTGGAGTATTATTCTCAGGATTTTGGTGTTTCTTCCAGTAAGTCTTTTCTGTGGAAATTTGTTGATATGAATAGACTCGCGTAGTAAACTATCTTTTTTCCCAGATTTCAACAAATTCTCTTTTTCAGGTATTTCTCTAAATAAGTTTACGCGCAATAAGTAATACTTATCGAGGTGGTCATCACTTCGTAAGCTTGTTCCATTATATAAGGCATTATTGCAATGTCTGCGAGAATGGAATGCGAAGAGGCATGTAGCGCGACTATTGTGGAGTTATAGTCGATTGCACGTCTTGCCTTCATTCACTTTCGAGTACTTTCCGCTGTAAAATTTCTGTTACATGAGCAAATGGGGAAATTATTCATCACTGGGTAAAATTATTTATTTTAGGCTTCAATTGCTTCAGTATATCAAATTCCTATCCAGCGGTTATTATTTGCATAATTTCATAAATATTATAATTGTTATTACATAAATATAAGTATGTTTATAAATATATAAATATTATATTTAGTATACCAGTCATATTTTAAAAGTTCGATATCGATCCGCGGGAATCTACCATCTTATAACGTCTGCGGTGTACGCAATGAGGAATGTGGCTATGATGTAGGCTTGGTAGATTCTCGATGTGCTTTTTATCAGCTGAAATACTATAATGTAATAAATCAGTTTAGAGATTTAAGTTATCATTAATTTTGTGATTTCAGTTTACTGTGCATACGCGCTATATGCATCTGATGTACTATGGTCATCAATTGGGACTTCATTGTTCCACCAACTTGTGTCATAGTACGTAAAGTTGGAGCAACAAACAGGTTAGGATCCAGCATTTTCGGGAAAAAATTGTACCTATGTTCGACACAGTGACATTTTCTGTGCAATATCTTTTTATATGTATCAGAAACATTGCAGTAGTGAAAATGGCTTCACGTAATAATTTTGCATTGTTTAAAAAACAACGAATTTCAGCAAAATCTCATGATATTTGGGACTATACAAAAGTAGACAAAGGTATTAAATCGAAAGTATTAAATGTGGAAGTGATCATAATAGTTGCAGTCGACTGGAATTACTAAATGAATTTCGTAAAATTCGCTTATGAATACAGGGATAAGTGTAGATTTATATCATCTCATATACAAAACTTCACTTCCTCTTTTCGGCACTTGTTGTTCTTCGGCAACATTCACGAAACATCCACATGATAACCACAATTCTGTTCGATCACGTTATTGCCTTATTCTTTCTGCTGCATTATGATTGTTTCTTGATCTATGAAGGATGAGGATGTCTTTTTATGTCTACATTAAGAAGTGGCACTTTGAAATTTATTTATAATTTCAACTGCTACCGAGATTTCTGTCGCTCGGATTGACACTTTTGTTCTAGGTTTCTTCGTTTTTTTTTTTTTTTTTTTGTGAATTCGCGGCACTTCCGCAGTTGTCCTATTATCTCTTTTTATTGTGGTCTAATATCTGTTTTTTCAAATATTAACTAAATTAGACTTGATACTGTTTTGGATATCTTGTACATGAAATTCTGCGAAACTGGAGTATTAAATTTAATCACAATAGAAATAATTAAGTCTCAATTTACCTGTTTTTTTTTTCGAATTTTAATACTTCGATGAATTTTGCAGCTAATTGTTGACACGATTTTTCGACCAAGCAATGTTGACTTTTTGTCATGGAAGCCACTTTTCGTCATCGTTAATCCAAAAAGTGGAGGAACTGAAGGACTCATATATTACGGACATTTTGCAAGCTTTTTTATCCAGTCCAGGTAAAAGAATTATGAAGCTCATTCAAGATAGTGTAGTGAGTTTTAAATTGAAATTTTATCTAGACGTTATCTGCAAATTTTAATGTTTTGAAATTATAAATAATCAATAAGTAGCCTACAAGCTTATTATTGTGCAAGTTTTGTTTCAAAATGCTAAATGCTAAGTTCTGTGATTGCAGGTTATAAATATTCAACAAATCGGAGTAGGGACAGCACTACGTTGGACCAATATGTTTCCTGAAATCGACTGTCGTATAATTATCGCTGACGGCGATGGTACAGTTTCGTTATCTCTGGATGCTATTAACGAATTGCAGCGGAAATTACCCGTAGCTGTATTACCATTGGGTACTGGTAACGACTTGAGTAGGACTTTAGGATGGCGTCCGTCATAAAGGACCCGTCAACTTCGTCGAGGTTGTTTTTTACAAAAATTATTTCCTAAGGACCGTGTTTTATTGTAACGAACTATAAAAGTTTAGTGATTTTTAGCATTAGTTTAAAATATTTTTGATTAACAATAGTGACGATAGCTAGTTTTTTGGTAGTGTTCTTACAGTTTCCTAGAACATCGGAAATTTGATTACTGCTCATCAAAGAACCTGAATTTAATCAAAATATACTTTTGTAGTTAGTTACAGATCTGCCGTAACATGTGTGGATACTTGCGTTACTTATGGCTAGAGTATTTCATTTTTCCTGGTGCTCATGCAGTTTCATCTGTTTATATACTGAAGAAATTTCTATGAATGAGCGTCATGGATTCTCAAAAAAAAAAAAAAAAAACTCTAATGAATAGTAAGAAAAGTCGTAGCAAACACAATATATGTTAGATTTGTTTCGATTGCTTGTGGTAAAAAAAAAAAAAAAAACTGTGGAGTTTTAGATTATCTGAATTTTAACATTTTTTTCTATTCATTGGAATACATACTGACTGATCAGATGAAATCATTGGACCCGTTCAATTTTCAAAAACAAAATATTGAAATATGTGAAATAATTAATTGAAACCTAATGGCAAAAAAGCTGCTTTTATCGACATGACAAATTAACCTTCAGGTATACAATCAACTCGTGACAGTATTCGCAAGATAGTTTATCACGCTTTTTAAATAAAATCCTGTTCTTCACTTTCGGTACAATGGTAAAAAATATTTTTTGAGAATACATTTATTTTCCGTAATTTTTTGGTTTCATTTTTGTTAAAACACCAGTTTGGGAAAAGGCTTGCCTTTTTTAATCTGTTAATATTTGATTTTTTTTTTTTTTTTTTTTATTGCAGGATGTGCTGGAACATGTCTGTGCTAATTTGGATCGGAAAATTTAACAAATGAGTGGCATTATTATTCCACTGCCGTCCATAGAAAGCTTATTTTATCTCAATGTTCCTTTTTGGGGTGCAGGGGCACGACCTTCGGTCAATTTATTTTGCCCGCAAGCAGTCGATGATCGTTAGTTTAAATTTTTTCCAGTGTAGTACTTATAAATAGACAGAAATTTAAAACATAGTAGATAAAAGCGAAGTAAAACAAGAACAGTTGCTGTCTATGAAAGCCAGATGTGGATATGCATAACACTTGTTTTTTATCAGAAACTTCTGAATAATAAAGATTATAAAACATTATTGAAAAATACAAGTCTTATGCATGCAAGAATCCTATGATAGAATGAAAATGATATAAATTTGCTCAAAGCGCTATTCAATATTAATGAAATCAGTATAAATTATTGGCTGAATTTCAGGGAAATTTGATGTTTTTGCGGTAAGGTCATCATTTCACATTGCACAGATGCAAATAGGCATTTCCCAAGGTATCTCACTCAAGGAAGTAGTGTAAAGTTGAGAATTTCTGGTGGAACATTACAGTACAATGCGATGGTGAAGTTTTGGCTACAGCTACCGGGTGTTATGTTCTATATTTGTCAAGGTTTTCAAAATATTTAAGGAATTCTAAAGGTGCATGTCATATTATTTGTGGCATTATTTCCATGAGTTTGCAAATTTTGAGTGGAACTGCTGAACTGCATAATTTTCGTTTGCATTTTTTGCTTGTCTGAATGGTTTTTTTTTTTTTTTTTGTTTGGAATCAATCAGAATTTAAAGAATCAAGGAATGTCAATAAATGCACTCGTTGCATTCGAAGTAAATTAGGATAGGTTGAATTATGTTATTTGCTGAGGTTGTTTTTTTAGGTAATATAGATCCCATCTTCAACTTTTTTCGATAGACATTTATTTACACCCTCTATTCTACTTTTTTCATGTCCTTTGGTTTTCTGTCACTTAAAGTAAATTAGCGGATTTGAGCCGAGTTTTCGTGATAAAACAAATTTGGTTTGGACTTGTCGCATATAATAAAGTACCTATCACTGTTGTGGTTTTTAAGTTTTTTCTGTTGATCTTAGTGTTTTGTCTGTAGTAGCTGCAAATTATTATTGGTTTGAATTAGTGTTTAGTTAGTAAATTAGTCCCATATTAAGATATCAACTTTTGCTGGGGTTGTAACATATTTCTCAGTAGTGACAGGACAGTGGTCAGTATATGTCATCCATCACTTAGTTTGGATCTCGTGAATTTTAAATTATTTTAGCACTGTGTCTTTTTCGAATCGGTTTTTGTTGATCATGTATTTTATGTTGAGAGTGGTGTTAATTTGTCTTTGTGCAAGAGCTTATTCATCAAGCAACCTTTTATATGAGAATTTTCATGTGGCATGTATTTGTTCATATTTCCATGTTGATATAAAGTTTATAATAAAAATTTTAAATATTTCTTACATTGTTTTTTGTGCATGTAAAACCAAATATATACTTAATAATATATGCGTGACAACTGTTAGTCTTTAACCTTGAATCCAGGAATCTTAGGAAGTAATTCAGGCATTGCTTTTTGGTGATTTTTTATATGACCATCACGAGATTCAAAGGGAAAGAGATGCACACGGACGATGAAAGCGAGATTGAATACACGGTGGTTAAGCGCGTTGCGTCCGTTACGATTGAATCGGATAGTCAGGTGGAAGCAGAAGTGCAACAGCGATCTGGACGTATAAGACGGAAGAAAAGGATTGTGAAACGGAAAAATGTTAATGACAAGATGGATGTCGATATTATTGCTTCTCAGTTCAGTATCATAAACAGAGGTAACATTGTGCAGATCAGTTGATTTAAGCAACGAAGTGTTTCTGGTTTTATCAGTGTGCAGGTTCCGTATACTACATGACTTAAATTTTTATGACCTAAGTTTGGGACGGTATTCAGTAACTACGAAAATTAAAGGATTAAAATAATTTAGGGATGGACTGGGATGGCCTGTGCTCAGCAAGTGAATTGTCATCTTCTGAAACCTGCTCCTCCGATGGTCGTGAGGCGGACGATGAACAATCAGATTGGGTTGGTCGTATAAATGAAGACCAAAACTTTCCTCTTCCGCAGATATCGACGAAGCAACAGCGCTTTATTAAGTAATTCTCAGATTTTTAATATTAGATAATCATGTTCTGACTGGTATTTCTCCTTTCTGTTGGACTTGAAGATTTCTGGATTAGCGCTTGCTCCTCCTTTGAGCATAATTTGAACAGGATTGGAATTCAGAACGCGTACTGCATCAGCAGCTCTGCAACGAAAGCTTGAACGGTTTATTCGAGATGATAGTCAACGTGAACTTGTTGTAAAAAACTGGACCGGTTATCAGCAGGTAGCTTAAACTATTCAACTCAAAATCCAGAAACTAATTATGAAACCATTGATTAATTATGCTGTATGTGACTAGACTAATATATGATGTACAAGCGATTAAGAATTGGAACATTGCCTAACATATTATGATCATTGGCACATTGTACTTCTAGCATAATTACTTGACCATTTAAAATTCAGGTGGACTTTGTTGCAGGTTAGTCGAGTTTTGCAGTTTTTTGGTCTGGAAGTTTTGAAAAGAGGTCGTGGGATGGTAGTTTTGAAGAAGACACGATAAAATATGAAAATATGTTATTATTGTGTTGCAATTTTTTGTGATTTTTTTTTTGTGTGTTCGTTAATTTTGTATATTCTGCATCGCTTTTTCAATTTATTTTTGGTATGGTTCTCGATATAGAGTTAAAACCGGTTTTGCCTTCAAGGTGCATTTAATTGCTTGCAGTGTTAAAGTAATAAATTGCTTGTTGTTTTTGTAAACCAAACAGCATTAAATTTGATCTAAAACTACCATTTTGAAAAGCAAGTATGTGCTATGATATATCTTATCGTTTTGAATTACATTGAATTTGAAATCCTCTTAAAACTAAATTTGAGATAGATAATGCGGATGCGGTAAGTAACGGAAAGGCGGTTGGCCTGTTAAATTTATAGTCATTAAATTTGAATTGCATCCTTCCGATGTTAATATAACCTTATTTATCTCAGTTTTTATTAGTGCTAAATCCGCTCTTTTTTAGGATTTCCAACGAAAGCTATCTCAAAGTTGTTGGAAGAGTACTATATGCCGGAAGAGACAAATCTAACAGGCCAAAGACGCTTGACATTTAAAGTGTATGGGATTGCGATCAGTATTTTTTTTTTGTCTTGCGAAATTTTCGGAGAGAGTTTAAAAATCCAACTTCATTCCCTTCGCACGTTAGATTTCACAAGTTTCAGTAAGGAAGTAATTCTGATTAAATAAATTCGGGTCATTTATATTAGTCCCGTTGAGCCTTTGTGAACGTTGGAAACTGCAGAGAGTTTGGAATACCAGCGAGAGGTGCATTCACTGGACAGGATTTTGAAGTGTTGGTCAATGAAGCAGTACGATTAGTATTAGGGCAAAGTGCGCCGAATTATTCATTGGGTCCATTTAACGAGACTGAACGGAAAGGGTCTGTGGTTGTTCAAGCATCGGACGTGAATCTTATTTGGGCAGCACTTTCAGTATATGGACGTTTTTTTGGCAAACCAATCGCTTTGCATTTCAATTCGGTTGGCCTTTTAGTACTGTGTACTACTTGGCTTTATATATATTTACTTGGTTTCACATCGGACGTAAAATACTTCTAAGACGATATTTCATTCTTAGAAAGAGGTCTAGTCGTCGTGTTAATAACGTAGCGGTGTTAAAAATACACGTAGGAAAGTAACTTAAAATACGGTTTAAATGACTTTGCTGAACATATCATCAAGTCGAGTATATTGATGTAATGTTTAATCCTACTGTTATTGGTGCTGAAATTGTAATATACTAAACCTATTTCAAGCGAATAATTCAAAATTAAGTTCCAGTTACTAAAACAGTTGTTTTATTCTTTTTCAGTTAACTGAAGTTCGAGTGCTGTAAAATGGATATTTATTTCTGCATATCATGCCTTACATTTGGTATAGTTTTTATGTATGCCGTACTGTTGGTTCTGGTTTACATTTCATTACCACGGAAAAAGCCATTATTATTTGAGGGAAAGCATGCATTCATCACAGGTAGATCACATGTTGAATTAATTTTCTCTTAGATTACTATGAACTTTCATGATATCCCTACTTTTTTGTTTTTTCTACTACCAGAGAATAACACTGAACACTTTAGAGTACAGCTTTCGCAATAAGCTATTGTTTTGTTCAGAGTTTTTAGATTCTTGTTTTTTTTTTTTTTCCTTTGCGATAAATTTTTCTTCTTTTAATAGTACAAAATTTTCTAAAATTAAAAAATAGAACACAACTTTTGCAGGTGGATCGAAAGGTATTGGAAAGGCAATCGCCGTAGCCTTAATTCGGCGCGGTTGTTCTATTTCTTTGGTTGCACGTAACGTGGAACAGCTTGAATTCGTGTGTAATGAATTAAACACACTCGCAAAAACGGAGAGAAATGGTGCAGTCGCAAAGTATTACAGTGTTGATGTCACTTCATCCTACACGGTGGTGAGGACTATTGTATAATAAGCGAGTGTCATTTAGAGTGAGAACAAAATAAGGAGTAAGAACAAAAATTAAAACCTAGTATTTGTTCAATTTTCTAATCAATCCTAATAAATTTCGATAAAATATTCTGAACTCTTCCTTTGAATTTAAACGAATTTTGTTTAGCTGAAAAGAGTGGTAGAAGAAGCGGAAAATGAACTTGGTGATATCAATATTTTGGTGAATAACGCGGGGTATGCTCTGCAAGGCGCTTTTGATTCGGTTGATGTATCAGTATATGAGGAACAAATGTATCTGAATTTTTTGAGCGCGGTATGCTTTTTATGTAAGGTGGAAAAGGCCGTCTTTATCTCGTTCTTTCCTTTCATACTGTTTCTTTTTGTATAAAATTCTTGTTTCGAGATCTGAGCAGTTTTATGATTTCATTGTAGATCTATATACATCTTTTTTTTTTCAATGTGTTAAATAAGTAAAATATTAATCTATCGCGGAATTAAAGTGCCAGCACAACGGCAAGATATTTTTGCTTTCAGGTTTATATAACTAGAGCAGTGGTGTCCAAAATGAAAAAGTCACGAGATGGTCAAATCATTTTTGTGAATTCCGCAGCCGGTCAATGTCCAATTTGGGGATATACTGCTTACGGAGCAACAAAATTCGCAATGCGTGGTTTCGCTGAAGCATTGTATATGGAGCTGCTTCCATATAGTGTTCAAGTATCGGTAATCTATCCTCCAAATACAAATACCGAAGGCTATCAGGTTCCAATTTTTTTTTTTTTTTTCGGTTGTAGTGTTTCGATGATTGGGATCTTATTCGTCACTGAATTGTTTTTGCACATCATTGATGACCGTTATTTTTAAGCGTGAAATATTGACAATGCCAAAAGAATTAAAAGAAATCAGTGGTACCGCAGGACTATTTGAACCAGAAACGGTTGCTGAATGCCTCATTTATAATCTTTCTCGTGGTAATTATCACACATGCATTGGTTTGGAAGGCTGGGCACTTGGAGTATTGTCAGCGGGTGCTGCACCGGAAAAGAGCTTTCTGCAAGCTGCTGCACAGGTGATTGATTTAGCCTTGTTTTTTCTGTTTTGGACTTTCTTGGAATATTCAACAAATGATCAAAGTACATTTGCAGTTAACGCTATTTTTTCATTTTATCATTGTTATTGTTAGAGTAAAATTATCTGCAGACTTTATTCATACTTTTTCTTTATTTAGGTACTTCTTGGTGGCTTGTTGCGGGGGATCATGCTGATTTACATCGGTCATTTTAACTGGATAGTGGAGAAATATAGGCTTAAGCAATGAATATTTAGTTAGAATCTTAAGTTACATTCGTCTACTTGTTTGATCTTTTGCAGACTTGCTCACCTATATAAATTTCGTGTTGCTTCTAATATTCCATTTGCACAATTAGAATCTTTTTATGATATCGCTTTAGACTTAGTCAAGGAAAAGTTCAAAACTTCGTAATAATAGCATGAAATTTATAATAAGCTTTAGTGATCCTTGAATCAGTGAAATTACAAAACAGCATCATATTACATCGCATTGTTACAGTAGGGAAGAAAGGAAAAGAAGAATTCAACTTTTTCACATAATTCCCTTTTAAGCATGCAATTTGCAATATGGTGCTCCATTCTTGGCATAAAAACTCTCTCCTTCTAAGTTCACATTGCAGCTCTGAAGTGAATTAAATTTGAGAACAGTAGATTAAGCATGTACCTAACATATGAATATTGCTTTTCTATACCTTTGATTTTTTTTGGTAAGATTATTTTTGTATTTTTAAAATTCAGAACTTTTGTATTTCATCAATAAAACTATGCAAATTTACCGTGCAGTTAAAGCAGGTTGAATGGAATGCAACTCCAAGTGCTTCCAACCATCTGTCACCAGCTTCTATCGGGTAATGACACGACACGCACTTAGTTGTGAATAATGTATTCCAGTCTAGAATCCAGAGATCGTTTTTTATCTCAAACTGACATTTGCGAGAATATTAAGTCGAGGCTCAGCTGTTTTATGAAGATTTAAGAAGTAGAATAATGTGACGAGCTTGCCTGTTTCGCAATACGGTTGTCCTTGTTCGAGGAAAAATGCAGAATTTCCAAATGGATTGTGACAGTACGTGCAAGCAAAGCAGTGCGGATGCCATTGTTTCTGGAGTGCATTGAGACAGTCCTATAAAAAGAGATTAGATGGATAGTTATTTAGTTATCAACACGACTTCTGGAATTATTACTTTGACAGCTTAGACAGCGACTTTCTATCATGAAAGCAACGGTTTTTTCTTGTGTTTAGGAAAACCATCAAAGTTCTGGTTGTGCACTTTGACGGTATCGACCTCACGCTGCATACTTTTCTAAACAGTTTAAAGGACTAACAGCAATTATTGGTTGATTGCATTTGGCACAGCGTGGAGCAATTTCAGTCTCGAAGCAACGCTCGCAATATTTGTGTCCCTTTTCTTCTACAAAACCAATATCCAACAGTTTGCGACCACATAGTTTGTTAGAACATATAAAGTGATCTGGACAATATGCTAATCCGTTGGCTAAGACGTATGCATCCCTGCAAAGCAACGTCAATTCCAAATTGTCAGATTTTTGAAAGCTAATCTAATTGATATCCTTCGTCGTAATCGCTAATATACAATGAATAATATCAATATGCCCGCATTAATTCAAGGTTACTTTCAGAACTTAAGCATCTCTTGTTAATTTTTTGACTGGAATTGCTTGTGCAAACGTTTGTTTCATAACAGAAAGGGAGAATTTACATATACCTTATTTCTTGTTTGCAGTCTTCGCAGCAAGATACACGATTACTTTGAGCGTGAAGTATATCTCGACTTTTTGCCAACTCAATTTGCGGTTCATGTATATTTGATGGTTTGTTATACGAATCCCTGTTGACTGCAAGATTTCAAAACTCTAATTTTAGAGAGACAAACGGAAAGACAGCTTGTTTTTAAGCCAAAAATTTGAAAACTTTAATTGAAGGAAGCGAGTTATGTCGCCAGTATATGTGGAATCATAGATAAATGAGTGCGTTATAGAAGTGGAATTGCAAAAATTGGAATTTGGATGTAAATTGTCATTGGCATCGTCGGAATAAGCGTTTCAAATACTGTGAAAATAGAAAAATGCATAAACGTAAAAAATGAAGAAAATAATAGAAAAGAGTGACTATAAAAATTAGTTAACAGATTCCTTAATGGATTTATTTTGGATCATACGCATAAACGCCCATAAACTAATGTTGACTAACGGAATGTCGTTTGCGATACTTTTCGATGTTACTATATTACTGTAATGCTATAAACATTGTTTATTACCCATCGTAGAGCTCTTAATATGAAGAACATTTGCACTCAGTAAGATATATGGAAATAAAACAATCACTTATAAAAATTTAGATTTATCTGAACGTTAATTATACGACTGTTAGTAGTATTAAATTAGTAAAGTAACCAGAAAATAGCATATATCTGCATGAATATTTGTTTCACAAGTAATAAAATTACTGGAATGAAAAGATGAAAAAGGAAAAAGGAACGTAAAAAGCACCAAAGAATGACATGGGAACACATCTTCATTCCAATGCTGTTTCATGGAATATTTCAAGAATAGGTGTAACGGTTTACGACACCCAAATAATTTTCACCATTAAAAACATCACCATCAGAATCTTGACAATTGTTTAATCGATTTTCCATTACTTTTATTACTTTACGTATACATTAATTTGTCTTCCATGCTAGAGCACCGTGGTACTATGTAAAATGTACAATTGACCTAACATAAATAATTGAATTTTCTTTTGAAAAGTTCGTTGAAGACATAAAATTTCTAGAATCAGAAATTTTTATAAAATCTCCAAAGCTTTATTTTATAAGTGTTCGAGAAAAATTCCATTAAAGCATGTTTCCAAGCATATATGAAAGTTCCTTTTCCGGATCACATAATTCCAGCTGATATCGAGCAATACTTTCAGTAACAGTCCATTTGCCACGTTCTTCAATAAGAAAAAAAATTTTGCCAATTTTGCCACGTTCTTCAATTCAATAAGATCCGAAGCCATGGATTTTTCTTGTCCTTCCTCGACCAGTTCGCCCTTATTGTGAATATCAAACAAATCCCATTTTCCGCGTATTCTCATTCTATTTCCTTTAATTGCCTTATTCATCTCATTATCTCCCACAGTAATATTTTGAGAAAAACAAGCTCCCTGATCCCAAAACATCAAGTTTTTTTTTTTTTTCTCCAGGAGCTGTATCCTTCTTTTCACTTGTATCTAGGTCGATATTCCCAATTTTATCGCATTGACTTGTATGGTTCGGTGATTCTGTTCCATTAGACGACGTCTGACCATCATGTACTTTCTTGATGGGAAGACTTCTCATTTTTATATTACTGCTACTGTGTACTGTTTCTATATCAACATCGAGATTTTGCTCCTTCTTTTGCTGTCTCTGTTTCTTCCATATTCTTGCGTTTCCAAATTTTCTGTGTTATGATCAGTATTCTAAGGAGTTTTAACCAAACCTTTCTTGTTCTGAATATGTTGTTGCTTTTGTTCTTTGATATTATTCGTTGAACAATCATTACCACGCTCACAGCTACAAATAATTCTACTGTTCAAAGCTCCTGCACTAGTCATGTCCTTCACCTCTACTTTGTGCTTTTCTTCCCTATAATAGTTCAATCCATCTGAAAAACACTTTCGTTGCTTCATATGTCCTGGATAATTCGGATTTCGGAAAAGTTTATCACATGGCGTCAGATGGTATCTGCATTGCATGCTAAAATTACTTTCAGTGATTCTGTTTCTTCCCAGGTGATTAAGACGACAATTTTTTTGTTCATCTCTTAACAAGTACCGTTTTGGACTCGACAATTTTAGCCGCTTATCCTCATTTCCCTTGATAAATTTTGACGAAGGAAAGAACAATTCATAGTGTTCTAGTTTGTTAGAAGTCAAATCGTTAGAAGTAGTAGCAGTCAAATGATTGCATTGCCAATATCTCATAATTTTATGGGATGCTGGAGGCCAGTGATGTTTGCATGGAAGCCGACGTAGCGACGTCACTTTTCGAATTTCAAGCGGTAGAGACCGTACACGATTTAAAACATTCGCGAAGGTTGGTGGGACACGTTGACGACCGGACATGTTGCCTGCGTGAAGACAAGATGACGTACAACATAAGGGACGTTGACAAGTTTACGAAACAAAATTTGGCATAAATAACTCTGATTGAAATTAAGTCTCAAACATTTGTATAAGCAAAACTCGAATTCACATAAAAACAGCATGTTACTTTGCTATACAATTATTAGATTTATTTCGTAGCAGCGTATTATCTGTAAAGCCAAGGAAACATGATTTTCATTAAGTAAATTTTTTGGTATTAAAAACTAAATTAAGGTCTAATTGGTGAATTTGTAATCTTCAATTTGTTTTCCAATTTCATTTTGATTGGCACTTTTTGGCCACCACTCAATAATCGTCTATTCTCAGCCGATTAAGTTCTTGCTGTTATGCAGCTTCGGTAATATCATTTACCTGAACTCATTGAAGAACTGTAAATTTCCTTCCTCAGTTCATTTAATTCGTGGCCATACTGAGTAGCCGCTGGTGGCACACCTCGACTGTTAGGACTGAAATCTTATTTTAAGTTGTGGCTATTTTAACATAATACATATTAAGTTTAAACAAAGATGCATCAAGAAAAAGAAAAAATGTCTGTCATGAATCACCAAAAATGGAATTATATTTTCTTTTATTTTTGCATTTATTATTATTAAAAATTGGACAGTAGAAGACATGGTTCCTCATTTAGTTTTAACATAGTGATTTCCTTTTATACTAGAGAAACAAGCAAATACTAATCACTTAATCACTCAAGAATTCAAACATTTGTTTTTAAATTTGTCTTAGCTTGAATACAATTCATGTTAAACAATTTTTTTGGTGCAAATTATACAAAAGAGTTGATTTTAAGAAAAAATCTGAAAGCGATAAATAATGAAAACATTGATCGAAGTTATTTGTACTCTACTGTTGAATTTCATCTTCAAACTAGTGAATATGGAATTGTTAATTATTTAAAAGAAGAAAGAATAGAAATAAAAGTTGAAAACTTAGTTCTATTTTCTAAATGTCTTTTAGCAGATTGCTGGTGGTTTTGTCATTTACAACTATTTGATCATATAATAATAAATTCGAGTGGACTTTAAAGCTGATGAGAAATCGAATTGATGTCAGTGGCAACGGTCAGAAACCTAATAATTATATTTTTTCTG